TCTCTGAAGCTTTTTAAACCCACTGTGACAGCACTAAGAAGACTGAAAGCTCCGAATATCTACTGAAAAAGAAAAAAAAAAAAGAAAAAAGTGAGAAAGAAAAAAATTAAAAAGCAAAAAAAAGCAATCAACAACAATTTGTATCGTCTGTATGATGACGAATGACTGCGCAACATTGATTGTTTCAAAAGTAAAAAAAAAACTAAAAAAAGGCAACAAGATGTTGTTATGAATTGGATCAGAATTTTGTTTTCGTATTTTTTTTCTCCCTTTCTTTTCAAAAAAAAATTCTTTTTTATTCTGATTGCATTCCAAATAAAAATTTTCAAACGACTAAAGGAAAAGACAGCAAAAAATTGCAGCAACAACATCAACCCCATGAGCACCAAATTGATGAGACTTTTTCTGAGACTTCAAATTAACAAACCACCAAAACCGCGACCGCAAAAGTTCGGAGGACAACAACGAACAGCAAAACAGCAATAGAAAGAGAAAAAAAACACCTTCTCTTTTCTCTGTCTTTTTTTTGCTTCCTTTTTTTCCAATAGATCAATTGGTCTTCATAAGCCAGGTTTAAAGTAAATTTTGTTAAGTAGTATACAGAAAAGGAGGATGTAAAAGGATGAATAAGGACTAGGGGAGGATGCAGAAGGCGAGAAGTGAGAAGCCTGGAGTTACTGATGAGGAGAGAACAGTACAAGATGGGACCAAAGACAGAGCAAAAACACCAAAACAATATCCCTATTGAATTCTGAGCTGTTTCGACGTTGCCGATGCCGCCGTCTTCTGCTGCTGTTGGTGCTGTTGCCGCACTTATTGCTGGTGGTTGTGGTGGTGATGGTAGCGCTGTTGTTGCTGTCCAAAACCTCTATTGTTTTTTAGTCTACAGTTATTTTTAATTTTATTTTAGTTTTATTTTTTGTTTTTTGTTCAATAAATCAAATTCCCATTTAGGGTCAGAAAAAAAAGCCAAGCGATTACAAGCAAGGTTTTTTTTGGCAATTAAACCTGTTTTTAAGACTGATATCAACCAATACTGTAGACACTGACAAAAAACGGAAAGGAAAGGAAAGAAGAAAACGATGAAAATGAAAGTGTAATTCAATATTATTAGAAAAAATATATGGCTTGGTCAAGAAGCAAAAAAAAAAAAAAAAAAAAAATTTTT